TACCCTCCCTTCCTTATTTTATGTAAGCCGCCCTGAGTCCCCTCAGGGAAAAGGGCGGCCTATAAATACTAATAAAATAAAATCAAATCAAGTAAGCAATGGAAAGGGACACACCCATTTTTTTTTCTTTCCCAAACAGTTGGGAACAGGACAAATGGTGCTCACCTAAAGACTGCATTGAACTTTTATGTGAAGTTTTTAAAATTAAGCAGAATGCTGCCAAAAATTAGTCTAAGGGCTATCAATAAACCTATGGCTCCAAAGAGTCTGCCCTGTATTAAGGTATACAAGCAAAGCATATGTAAAATGCAAGTCTTTTGGTAGTGCATATAAATAACAATAACATGCTGTTTTAAACTAGAAAAATGGGTCTGGCCTTGAGAAAATTTAATTAAAATCAAGAGAGAGAAAGGGTGACAAAACCAGAGAAGAATTTGGAGTATATCGTCCTATGGATTTAGAGTGGGATCACAGAGTACAGGGCTACATGGCCTGTAGTTTCTAGATCTTTCATATTACATTCCAACGGTTTCTTCCATCAATCAAGCTGGCTGTTTCCGAAGGGGGAGAAGTGTAACACATTAAGAGGAGCATAACACTTCCATTTGAAGTGTAAATAAATTATGGCTAGATGAAGGTGAAAAAAAATGGACTGATCGTTAGGATCAAAGGAGAGAGTGACAATGTTAACTTTAGAGCAAAAGAATAAAAGATCAGGAACTTTAAGGAAACTGCATTGATTGAATTGGAAGAGTTATATTACATAACCCTAACAAGAATGTCACACTGTAGTGAGGCAATCCTGATAACTTGGTTTTGCGTAGTCATTATATAGTTTAAAGTAAATTTTCTGTTTGCTCACAGAAACATCAGAGAGATTGCAGTCTATTCTACTTGAGATACAGCCATGTGATACAAATGATTACTTCACAGAAACAAAATTGTTAAAAGAAATTTACAGACCAGACTGCGGTGATGGGAGAGCTCCAAATATTTCTTCTGAAATTAAAGGTAATCAAGATTGAAACGATTACTTCCCTTTGTGTCAGGGAAGACTGTGCTGAAGATTAGAGGATGCCAGCAACTTTTATTCCAATAACTGTTATTCACAAAAGCAAAGGGTAGCTTTCTCATTTATTTATTTGAAACCAACTGATCTTCTTTAATCTGATTTTAGTCTGTTGCCATAATTATTCCAGAGAAATTGGGGACTGCTGGTTACTTGCTGCTTCTTCTCCCCCTCCCCCCCGCATAATTGTAAACTGTTTGGATTTGGAATGTTTTAAAGCAATAGATGCCTAATGAATATTGATTGTATTAAAGGAAGCTGAGAAAATTTGGCCTGAGAAAATTACCTATCGTACTTATACTAAGTACCTATCGTACTTATACTAAGCTAACAGTAGTAAATCTCAAAATGATTATTCTTATTATAAAACTTTAATGTTGAAGTCATCTGAATTAGTGGGTAGAACTAGAAGATATAGGCCGTCCTCAGTTAACAATCACTCATTCAGCGTCTGTTCAAAGTTGTAATGATGTGGAATGAGTGTTGAATTTTGGTCCTTGGACTTCTGGTTGTCCCAGCATTCTCCACAAAGTCACATGATTGGCAACTGATTTGCATTTAAGACTGTGGGGTACAGTGTCCCACAATCACATGTTTGCCATTGCCTCTGGGACTTGAAACTTCCTGCTGATTTTCCTACTGATTTGGAAGCCAGCAGGAAATTGCGAGAAGCTCCTTATTTATTTATGAAATTATTTGTTGCCTATCTCACGCCTGCGTGACTTAAAACATAAATCATTAAAACATTACAACCATCAACATCAAGGTCCTTGCTTAACAATCAATGAATCTTGCTTACTGATAGCAACAGGGACTGCCATTGATAAGCAGTGCAATGTTGTGAGTGTGTGCTTTGTGAAAGCATTGCTTTGCAATGAAAATGATGATTCCAATTACCATTAATAATTGAGGAATATCTGTATAGAGATTGCAGATTAATTTAAGGATCCAATCCTGAACTTTGGTTCAATTTGTAGTATTCTGCAATTAGTCCAGTCTAAATCTATGACAAGTTTAAATTTAATATAATATTTTTGGGGGAAAGCCGCCTTCCATAGTCTAATAAGGAAAAACATTGTTTCTATTTTTTAAATTATTATTTTGTATTACAATGGGTGTGATTTGTAGGAAAGCATGATTGTTATGAGAATCAAATCATGCTCATTTCCATGTCACGCTAATGTTTTGGAGACATTATGTAATGCCTCCGCTTTCCACTTTTATGTTAACAATGCAGGTATCTTTTTTGCATTATCTTGGAGCTTCATGAAATTAGATCGTGCTGGAACTTTATAGAATCTCAGAATTTGAACAAAACAGATTAGAATGCATCAACTATTCTGGAGAATTGAAAATCAGTCTCAAATTACTGTTCTATTTTATTGCACAGATTAGCTGATGCATATTGATTACTGCTATATTAAGTAGAATTCTAATTTTTTTTAGGTGTTTTCTGAAAGTTTAGATAAAATTGTGGAATAGATTTTTCTTGATATTGGTGTTCTAGTGATTCTAATTCTTTGGCGTTCAGGTGATCTGAACTCATCCAATATTTCACTTTTATTTCTGTTTTGAATAAAGAGTAGGATGTCATCTTATTTCTCTTAAGTTTACTCTTTACAAGAAGCCACTGACAATGAATATCCAGAGATTTGAGGCATTTTGTCAATATTTTATTTATTTATTTATTTATTTATTTATTTATTTAATATCTATCTATCTATCTATCTATCTATCTATCTATCTATCTATCTATCTATCTATCTATCTATCTATCATCTATCGTATGGCACATGTTAGCCAGGGATCACTGAGGTTGCCTCTATGAAAGGAATTTTTTTCGGGCGGTGTTATCTTTATCCGTGGGAAGCCTGAATGCCGGTAGGCAATCGGGGGCGGCTCCTTTCTTGTCCCTCTGTGGTTTATGCGTGTTTTATTCGCACAGGAATCGAACCACCAAGCTGCTGACCTCAGTGGTGCGCAGGCCCAGCGTCTTACCACGTGAGCCACTGCGGTCTCTTGTCAATAATTTTATGATGGGAACGAACGTGAGAGACCTAACATCAATGTCTAATACAATTGTTTGATGTTTTCTTCCCAGTAAATAAAACGTTGGAATCTAGTCCCTGCAAGCTTTTATCTTATCTTTGCAGCCAAAAAAGTTGTAGATCTAGTAGGCACAATATCATATGCATCTTTCTGAGTTCCCTGTCAATATTAGTCAGAATAGTGACATCGAACAGCCAAACTGTTTAATGAACTATATTCTTGTGCAGAGGTTTAACTAGAACACATGCTGCTGAATGTTTCCAGTGGAAATGAATATTTGAATATTGGGGAGTTTCTAGGTCCATGATGGTGAACCTATGGCATGCGTGCCAGAGGTGGCACTCAGAACCCTCTCTGTGGGCATGCGTGTTATCGCCAGCTGCTCTACTGGGCCAGCTGATCTTTGCGTGTGCCAGAGGCCTGGAAACCCAGCATGTGTGTGCTGGCCACCTGGTCTTCAGGTTTCCGGGGCTCCGGCATGTGTCAGAAACCAGAAGACTAGGTGGTCTTCGTGTTTTCGGGGCTCTGGCGCACATGCACATTCTGGTTTGGGCACTCGATGCCGAAAAGGTTCGCCATCACTGTTCTAGGTGAATAAGGACTGATTGAAGAGACATTCATGAACAGTGGAGATGACTGCTGTAAGAATTTATCCAGACAAAAGATTACATTCTGAACGGCTGCTTCTCATGGAAGAAAAAACAATGATCTCCCATGGATTTGAGTGCCCACTGAGTAGCAGCGAACCTTTTATAAAGAAACTAAGCCAGCTAAACTCACTTTCTGATCACATTCAGAAATGTTCAGTTTAATACTTTATATATATTAGAAACTTTTAAAATGGTGAACTTAACTTGGCACCTGGTGAATTTTATTTCTTCAAATTTAAAAATTTTTAAACAGATTTAAGAGTTTAAAATATGCAATTGGAAAAAAGCACACATATATACACACACACAAAGATTTTAATTTCAGGTTCAGAAAGTTTTAAATGGACCAGGAGACCAGAGAGATTTGGAATATTGGATATTTCTGCTGTAAGATTTGAAAAGCAAGCATATAATTAAATAATATATCATGGAAAGTGACTGAAGCAGAACTAAACTCCTATTAAGAACTGAGGCTTGTTAAAGGTTGCAAATGGACACTAGAGGGAACTAAAGCACCAGGTAGAAAATAGTTAAAATGGCTAAACTAGCTATAACTTTTATCGTCTTAAAGAATCCTTCAAAACGGACTGAGGCATTAATAATATCTTAGAAGTGGTACAGATGCCAATGGTTAAATTTTTAGAAGTTGATGAGCAAATATGGATAGTTGAAGGGACTCGGGTTTGTGTGTGTGAGAGACCTGAGTGGGTTCTAGTGGAAGTTAATTCTTCTTTGAGTGAGGGGATTATTCTTTTACCTCTTACAGAGGCCTTGGTTTTTCCCCTTTTCAAGAAGCCATTGCTGGATGCCAGTATATTGGATAACTTGCATCCAATAATTAACCTTTCCTTTTTGGAAAGGTGGTTGAGAAGGTGGTTATGCAATAGCTTCAAAAAGCCTTGATGAAGCCAATTACCTATATCTTTTTCAATTAAGATTAAGACCCAGATGTGGGATAAAACAGCATTGGTTGCACTTTGGATGATTCCTGATATGTGAGATGGAGTTGTGTATCCATCCTTGCTGTATTTGGCCTCTCAGCAGCTTGCGATACCATCAAACATGATATCTTTGATTGACTTGGAGGATTAGGGATGGGTGACAGTGTTGTGCTGGATTGCCTCCTTTTTTTCAGGGTTGATTCAGTCAATGGTGATTGAGGAGAGGTCCTGCCCTCAGTTCCAATTGTGGGATGCCACAGGTGCTCTCCCCTCTCCTATTTGGTTCACATTTGTTCACATTAAGAACATTAGATGGAGTAGTTGAATTTCACAGATTTATCCCAGTTTGGATTTCAAACAAATAAAACAGTAAAGAGAGGGAACTTCATGTAAAAGGATTCAATTTTGCCATCTTCCCTGTTTAATCAGAGGGATTCATGTTTACACACGTAGATTTTAACAGATTAATATGGTAATAAAAATAATGATCTTTCATACCTTGAAAATCAGGAGGAATTTGATGGTACCTTTTTTTGATAAATTACATTAAAAGGCCTAAGGTTGTAATATTATGAATCTGATGAAGTAAGCTGCAGCTCACAAAAATGTACACTTCTAAATAAAACTTGGTAAGGAAAGAGAAGTGAGTGAGTTTGATTAGAGTAGTCCAGATTTGCAGATGTTTGATTTACAGAGATAAATTGAGTGCATATGGGGTATTTATTGAGTTTATGCTGCTGTGAAAACAAGATTTTATGACTTCATTGCTATTTTGGGTTTTCTCTGCAAATGGATGTTGAAGAAAATGAAAACTCTATATTTAGTATCAGGACTTAGTATCAGCAATGCTAAATAGATGAAAATAGTTTTACATCTAGGAAATTCTGTTTATCTGTTCAAAGGAATCATAGGTCACTCATCTGGTCAAAGCTAACATTTGAGCAGTATAACAACCAATACATAATGAGCTTTTACAGTATGAAATCATATACCAGCAAAAAACAGAACTGCATTTCATAACTTGACACTATGTGTTGGATGTTGCTTGACAGTTAATGTGCATTCATTTGAGATGGTTGTAAATCCTGATTCTTCAAAATATGCCTGGATTTTGAAACACAGAAGCTATCTTATATCAAGTCAGGTCTTTAGTTCACCTAACAGAAATGTCTATACTCAGTATTCCATAATTTGGTACCTTAAACTTCTAATTTAGCCCTGTGTTTAGGAATTTTGAGATATGAAGCCTAAAATGTCTGATGACCACTGGATTATGGTAGTTGTTTCAAGGGCCAACAATTTTGCAAGATTTTAGATGGCAGCATTTTCCTAACATTTGTGGAATCCTTCCAAGACTGGTATAAGTATTGCTTCTGAGCTACAACCCAAGCTCTAATCTCTTAATTGTTTTCCAGGCTAGTTAGTTTGCTATCTCTTGCATATTCAAACCTGTTACATCTAATTCTAATATCTACTTGGCTGATTTTGTCAACTTTATTAATTTAAATGCCAAGACTGAGTTTGTTGTGTACAAACTTACTTTTTATTATTTGATTGAATAAAGTTATTTAGTTGTTTTGACAATGCATTTAATATTTCAGGGATAGTGTTGATTTACCATTATTGTTCAAAGATTGCATTGCTAAATAATCCTGGTGAAATAATTTTTAAAAGATTGTTAGAGCTGTTGTAAGAAGTTTTGATTTGTGTTTTATTTTTTTAAGGTAAAGAACAACATACAAGTGATGTCACAGCTCAAATGGTGTTGGTGTGTTGCTGGCGAAGCATGAAGGAAGTTTCATTGCTTTTAGGGAAATTATGTCAACTTCTGCCTGTACAGATGCTTCCTAGTTGTTCAAATGCACTGATAACAGTGGACCAGGTAGGATATCTAAAATGTTAGGATTTGTTCAGCCAGATAATTTCAGTATTTATTGGATAGATTATTGGAATCATTTTATTCTGTCACAGTTCCGTAGTTCCCTGTCTGGTGTGTTCCAAATAATAGCAGTGTCTTGATGAAAAATAGGAATAATTTTTGGGGAAGATATTAACAGCAGTGCGTTTATTTTAAAATGGGGATCTTATTACCGTATTTTCACCCATATAACCCGCCCACGCAAATAACCCGCCCACGCATATAACCCGCGGGTTTTCCGGATCGTGTAAAATATCTTCCGTATACCCCGCCCACGCATATAACCCGCCCACGCATATAACCCGCGGGTTTTCCGGATCGTGTAAAATATCTTCCGTATACCCCGCCCACGCATATAACCCGCCCACGCATATAACCCGCGACGAGTAAGAGAGAAGGGAAACAGCTGAGATGGGGGGGGGGAGAAACGGAGAAACAAGCCTGCGCAAGCTGGGGAAGAGGAAAGGAACGGAGGAGAAGGAAACAGCTGAGATCGGGGTGGGGGAAGAAACGGAGAAACAAGCCTGTGCAAGCCTCCGATCGTGTAAAATATCTTCCGTATACCCCGCCCACGCATATAACCCGCAGGGGGGCGCTGTGCATGTAAAAACCGCATATAACCCGCGGGTTATATGGGTGAAAATACGGTAATTGTTCCCTTTCTCTTAATTTGACTTGCTTAATTAGTCCAAAGAACTTATTTAAGCAATATTCTAGACAGCTCATGAATACTTACGTTAACAGAAACAGTGTTGAAGTAAAGAATGTTACAACAGTGCAAATTCTGACATTTCTATTTCAGTATATTTTACTTTATTACCAGATATAGAATTGCCTTGCAATAGTTCCTCTTAAAACTAATGGGTCATCATTTTAGAGATTTTTTTTTCTTAACAGAGAAAGAGAATGACCATGATAGGCAAAAAGATAGTGGGAGCAAAAGCAATTTCCAACTTCCCACCTGCTCCCCCATTGAGTTTCCTTATAGGAAGCAATCAGGGGGCCTTTGAAATCCTGTCTACTGCCTGCTTGCAGCATAAATTTGTGGAGCATGAGGAGGGGGTGATATGGATTGGGAAGGATGCACAGGTGTCCCCTTCCCCTCCCATTCCCCTTCCTACTGGTAAGTGGCTCCTGTTGAATTGGAGAAGAACAGAGAGATTGCAAGACTATTTTGGGAAACTCATGTCACATTGAAAATGAAGATTATATATCTGCACCTCCAGCATAGCAGCAACAGTAGCACTGAAACAGTCACAACTTTAGAAGTCATAGGTTCTGCATTTTGGACACATTCTGTAACTTAGCCCATTTGAAATACCTTGGTTCAAATTTTTTTGCCCATGATGTGAGTTTTAATAGAATATAGATTCTTTCTTCCAGCCATATGGGTTTAGGAATCTTCTATTTAGGACAGTGCTTATATCAGCAGTGGGATTCACTTACCTTCCCTACCGGTTCACAAATGTGAGTGCATGTCTGTGCATGCGCACCACCTTCTGCACATGCACAGTGCTAGCGCATGATGTCGGGGCGGGTGCACGGAGCCTCCTGCTACTGGTTTGCCCGAACCGGAGAAAACCGGCTGAATACCATCTCTGGTGGTATATATGTATATATTAAAGTTCATTTACTGACTTCCACATTTATGTTTTCCATTTGGCAAGCAGCAAGGTGAGATTTGATGAAATTATCATTACAGTATAGCTTTTATGGTCTGTAATTTTGGATAACAAACACATTGATTGATTGAGGATATCATATTCTCTGTAGGCTAGATGACAGAATTATGCTCACTCAGACCTGTTTTTATACCTCTCCCATCCCATTTTTTTTAAGACCATGAAGGCAGCACACCATCTGGGACTGTTCAAGAGAATGGACTGCAGTGTTTACAAGAAATTAGCTTACCACAAGTATTTCATTTGGAAATATTTTGGATTTATTAGATTTCTGTTTTTAATTGATGACCTTTTCCCTTTCCCATATGGTTTTAACCAAGTCAGTTTCCAGCCTTAGAGACTGATATACGTGATACAGACTTTTTTCTTTTTTTCTGAGGGAAGTTTATGATGAGAGTTCAAAAATAAAACTCTAGTTTTTCAAAATTATGATACCATTTTAGACTGAAGAACTATTGATGTCGTGCTGAATATAGAGTTTTGGAAATAATTCTAAGATGTTTATTTACACGTCTCAAACAGATGTTTTCAGCTGGCTCACAGCTGTGTGTGCAGTCTTGCAATGTTTTGGAAGTGCAGAAAAATGACCACCAATATACCATTAAGCTCCTTTTCTGTTCCAAGTCAAACAGGATTTGGTTTTAAAGTCTTACGTTCACCTTTTAAATCCAATGCCATGCATTTTGCCTGAAAACATAGCTATAAATATTGGCTGTTTGGTCAATAGCATTTTTTTTAAAAAAATCTCTTACATTTCTTCACACTTTATCATGCTATAACCTTGATTACTGTTAGAAGATAATAAATCTGAGTAATTATAAATAAAATAATTCTAATGTTGATTTTGTTTTGCCTATTCAATTATGTGCATTGAATATGTCTTATTGAACTGTTCCCGAGTTCATTCCACAGGACTGTGCAAATTCTTCTGGTATAAAAAAAGCATAGCATAGTTGTTTGGCATGAATGGTTAGAAAAGAGAGAATATTAAAATTTGATAATTTGAATGTTCAAATATTTGAAATTCTACATAAGGTTACAATGTGTGTGTGTGTGTGTGTGTGTGTATCATTATATATTAATGATTCTTGAAATACATTTAATATATTGTGAACTTTTCAGAGTGCATATTAATCCCCTGGACAGCTTCTTCCCAGCTCTTCACATCTTGCCTCCATGTGTACCACATTATACTTTGTTTTCTATCCAGTATGTGCTATATATTTTAAAATTGTAGCTTATACTACTTGCTCAAGGATGACTATGGAGGTAGAAATGCAATCATCTTAATTTACTTGCTGTAAATATTCTTTACAGCTGCAGCCCCCAACCTTTTGGGCACCAGGGACTGATTCTGTGGGGAAAGGTTTTCCGTGGACTGGAGGGGGTGTGTTTTTGCATGCTGCCTGCATCCTGCAAATGGGGCTTTGTTTGTTTGCACAGACTGGTTGCAGACCGGAGGTTGGGGACCCCTGGTTTAAAGCTAGTTTGATGTAGAGGTGTCTTAACCAGCACCAATTAGCACTTGGGCTAGAATCCAGGAGACTGGGAGGTTTTTTACAGTGTTCTCTAAAGGGAATCAATCAATAGAGTGATAATCAAAGTAATATTCTGAAATAAACCTTATTTATTTGATTAAGGCTTCATTTGTTAGAACCAATTTGGTGTTGCGATTAAGACATCAGGTTAGAAACCAGGAAAATGTGAGTTCTAGTCCCAACTGTAAGTACAAAATCTGCTGGAAGACCTTGAATTAGTCACTGTCTTAGCCCTGGAAAGAAGGCAGTGACAACACTTCTGAAAACATCACTATGAAAACTGCAAGGATCTATCCAGTAGTCATTAGGAGTCAAAAACTAACTCAAAGGAACACATTTACACAAATATTGTTTATATAAGGCTCTACCTATATTGCATCTGTGCATAACATGCTGCTGCTTGCAGCAAAGGGAAAACCTCAGTGAACTTGTGTAATGACCTAAGATTCCTAAAGTCCTTTCCTAAATTATTGCATTACATATTCAATTATATTACAATTATTGCATTCCTAAATTATTGCATTACATTACAATATACATTTTAACATTTATAGCATTACTACTGCTACTGTTATGTTTTTAAAATTCAAATTATTTATAAAATTTCTCTTAAAACAATTGTTAATGTAATTAATTTAAAATGAATGGAAACAACAGTACTAAAATAGAGGTATACAAATTCATCATGTGTTTCTTAGCTGAGGTACTTTACACTGAAGAAAGGTGATAAACATGTAAGGCTACTCTTTATTTAGTGTATTTACTTACTCTGTATTTAGTACATTTATAAAATAAGTCTATTCAAGGAGGATTTAAGGCAAGAACCTTTTTTTCTTTCACTGCCTGTTCATTTGTGAAGGAATGTTTATGTTTGTTGTTTTGATGTAGAGAAACATCAAATTTGATCTCATGCCTGTCTGAAGTGACACATTTTAGCCATAGAGATCATGTGGGCATTTGTCAGCATAGTTCTATATTTCTTCCATGAGCTGACCTAAATGTGCTTTTGAAAAGTTCATTTCTGAACTGAAGAAGCTTCTTGGATGAGAAGCAAAATGTTTTCAAGGAAATAACAAAGTCCAGGTGCCTTTTGAAAAGCACTTTTGGAACAGTCATGACTTGGATGATTGAGCATCTCCATAGACATTCTTCCATGAACTATATTCTTTTATATAGAGGCAGAAGATTCCCTGATGAACTTTATCATTCACAGTTTGTCAAAAGCGTTTCGGTGTACATGGCATACATTTTTCTTGTTTTTTTTTCCTTCTACCAGGTAAAAGATATTGGGGAATATTTCAAGAATCATCTCCTAAAGTCACGACATAGAGGAGCATTTGAGCTAGCTTATGCTGGCTTTGTAAAACTTACTGAAGTATTCTCAAGGTAAATTGTTCTGTTATGAATGCCTTTACTTTTAATCCTTATCTGAAAGTAGCCATTGCTCATTTGGATTTATTGTCCTCATTTGCAGAACTATTGAGCAAAAATATTACTGTATTTTACCTGCACCAAATAATATCTTCTTTCACCAAAATACCTCCCTCCCTCCCTCCCTGTAAATGCCATCTATAGGGCCAGTCAAGCCTTCACAGTGATGGCTTTGCTCCAATGGAATAGGTTGTCCCTGATATCTAGACTGCTCCCCCATTGTAAGGTTTGAGCTTGCTCAACTGGGCAGTGCTATTCGGAAATGTTGTTTCAAATACTATGACTTTATTTTAATGTTTGTGTTGCTTGTTGCAAATCATTCAGAGCTATTTTGAACTGTGGCCTTCAGCTTATTGTAAGTGAAAGAATAAATGATAATTGAAGCAAAAAGCAAGTGGTCTTTCTGTATAAGTTGAAGGCCAAAAATATATCTATAAGTGATAGTTTTTAACTCCATTATGAATTAAATTTAATAGTTTACTACCACATTTTACATCAGTTGTATCTTCCAAGATAAACTTGCCTAAGTCACACTATGGAATAGTGTAACTGAGATATAACTATGGCAAATGTAACTAGATGGTTCAAGATACAATTGTGCAAAAAATGGAGAACCAATTTGTATAGTGATTAAAGTGCTGATCTAGAAACCAGGAGACTGAATTCTAGCTGGCTGGGTGACCATGGGCCAGTCACACTCTCTTGGCTCAACACACCACACCAGTTGTTGTGGGAAAAAGTAGCAGGAGTGAATATTATGAATGTTTGTATCCTTGAGTTACTTAGCAAGTAATAAAGATGGGACAAATAAATACATTGTATTTATTTATTTAATTTAAAAATAAATGTTCTCTTTGTCATCACTGCAACTTAGCCATCAGGGATAGCCAATGATCAAGAACACCTATTATAAATTTGCTCTGTTGGGAAGTGGAGCTGGAGACATGATTATTTCTTGGCTCAAGATGGAATTAGAAAGAGGGCATTTGTGTCTTTGCACTGTGCAAAATTCGCTCTGATGGTTGTCTAAGGGTGTGATAGCGTTAAAGGATATAAATTTAAATATATCAGTGAAGTATTGCAGAAGGAGATTACTGTTGGTGTATAGAATAGAATTAGACTTTGATATTTCTTTGGTTAACCATTATATTTCAAATGTGATTTAAATTTGTAATTGAAATGTAATTTCAGTATGTACCATTATATTTCAAATAATTACACAGCGAAGTATAAATTGAAGCAAGGAGTCTACTAAATTATTTTTAGCCTGTTATAAGGGTGGGGTGGAAGGATGCAGATTGTGTGGAACATTTATTGTATTCATTGAAATGATCAGAGAAAGTATTTTAAATATGTAGGCGACTGAATTTTTCTGTTGCCAGTTAAAATACTCTGAGAAACCACAATGAGTATTTGCTGAATTGGAACCACAATGATTTATACATCAGCTAACTATGTTTTCAAGTGAGGTTTTGCAGATTATATAAATGAGTTGCTTATTAAATCTGATATGGGCTTGGTCTCTTAAGTTGGGTAAAATCATGCTTGGATCTGTGACTAGCATGTTATTTTTAAAGCTCAATTTTCCCTTTCATATTTTAAGGGAAACTTGTTTCCCATGGAAATAATTTTTCAGCCAGTCTAGAGTATTGCACAGTTGCCAAATTAAAGGGAGTAGTCTTTTTTTGTTTTTAAAGTCAATAGTTCTTAATGTTTTTATTACTTCAGGACAACCAAAATTTTGCTTGTCCCAAAATGTGCAAGTTAGTGGATAACTGAACAAGATTAAATTACTTCTGGCATTATCAAAACAGTACCATGTTATAATCTTAGGGGTCTGTCAGATTTCATTTCAATATATTTTTGTCTTTCTGTTAATCTTAACAGGAGTTAAAATGTTTGTTCAAAGATAACTGAAGCAATTTATTTTCAACTGTGTGGTAGCTTGGATGTATTTTCTTTCATGTTATATTCTTCATGAATTCTAGTTGCCATTTCTGTAGTTTTTTCAAAGAAACAGTTGAAATGTAGGAGAACTCAGCAGGAATGTTAGTAGAATGTTAGTTGATGTCACATAGTTCTGGCTTATATAAATCCAGATAAGTTTCTCATGTACCTTTCTAGATTAAAAGTCCAAGTCCATATCAAATTTAATGAGCACATTATTTCTATACAATCTGAAAAACTTCACTTTAGTTGACAAAGAAGAAGTTATATATGTTCTGTAAGTAGATAAACAAATGACAAATGATAAAAGAGAGATCCAAAGATGCTCAGTTGAAAATTTTCAATTGGAAGAAAATATAGAAGCAATTAAACTTTAGAGAATGAAGGCATATTTTCAGTGTGATTTTGTGTTGCTGTATATTAGAGTGGAGTTTGTTATGAGTGGCCACCTTGACTCATATCAGGGAAAAGATGATATTTGGCCATTCCAAAATACACTGCTCTGAATTTTTAGATTTTACCGATTAGCTACTAAAGAAAAATATATATTGTAAGAGAATAGCAACTGTGGAGACAAAATTGATGTCACCTGATGTTCTTTAATAATGCAGATTTGTAAAAATAAAAAAAATGTTGGGCAATGCCAAAGGAATTCTTGTCTGGTGTATTTGAAATACTTATATTTGAAACCTAATGACTTTCCTTCACATATCCAATTCTTCCAAAATATTAGGTCTTCTACATCAAAATATTAAGCATTTTGTAGCACATTTCTTCAGTTTTGAATTCTAGCATTCCCTACTCTTAATAGGCTTGTTTTCCTACTCTTAATAGGTGTAATAATGAAGATCTACATAAATTGCCACAGCAATGGTTATACAATGTCCTGGAAGAAATTAAATGTAGTGATCCTTCATCTAAACTGTGTGTTACTAGACGCAGTGCTGGAATTCCTTTCTATATACAGGTACCATGTATATTTGATCTTTATATGACCACAGTTTATAGACTGAATCATTTGAGAAGTGCACAGTGTATTTCTAGTTAAATACTAATAAATTTTTGGTTGGATTTTTCTAATGGTATTAGAATTTCTTCTAATTGTGTTGTTCTGTTAAAAGTTATTATTAGTAATATTTTAGATGAAATACAATTATATCTTTATGCCCACAAAATGGGCATCTTTTATCAAATACTGTACTTACTTTGAAGTCCTATATATTGTTTACAAATATGATTTGGGGAATGACTTGAATTCAGGACTATTTCTTAATACAATTCTACTGGGAATCTTTTAAACAATAGCAAAAGTACAACTTGATAACTACAAGAGCCGAGGTGATGCAGTGCTTAGAGTGGAGAGTTCAGCTGATTCCTAGCTGCAGTTCAGCAGTTCAGATCTCACCGGCTCAAGGTTGACTTAGCCTTCCATCCTTCCAAAGTGGGTAAAATGAGGACCCAGATTGTTGGGGGCAATATGCTGATTCAGTAAACCACTTAGAGAGGGCTGTAAAAGCACTATGAAGTGGTATATAAGTCTAAGTTGCTATTACTACAAACATACCATTTTCTTCCAATTAAAGATCTTTGAAACACAAATAAAATTTAAAAAGTTTTCAGAGAACACAAAAATATAATTAATTCTAACAATTATAGTTATAGGTCATCTATATGGACACTAAAAAATCAAATGCAAATTAAATGAAATATAATGCTATATATGTTACAATACCAAATCAAGAAATTTAGAAGTAAGGATTGGTCATGATGAGAAGATACTTTTAATATTCAACACATTTCAGTTAAATCCAATACATATGTACATACAAATATACTGCAGTGTCCAAAAGAGGGGTGTTTCCCCAAAGCTGCTGCTATAGGATTATGGCCCTTCTGAAGCACTTTTGGTATAGTGTATTCAGGAAGAGAATAAAGAGAAGATCCTTTTAGCACTGTGTCAATCTTATATTTTTAATTTTTCACCTCTCTTTTAGAGATAAATATAACACTGATGATAGAAGAAATTCAGAATTATATTGAAGAATTGCTTTTAGGTTATTATCATTTTATTTGCTCCATAGACTATGGAAATTGGAAATGGAACAGGACAAAGTTGTTGAAATGTAAAGCACATGTGCACACATACACAAAGACTAATTTACAGATTTTCTCATAGTGTATTTGCCTGCTTCTTCCAAGTTTTGGTTTTCCATTTAGTATTTGAGTCAATTACTTTTTTGATGCCACTTTTATGGCCAAAATGTTGAACAATCTTGCTATATTTTCTCATCCATCTCTGTAAACAACATGAGCATTTATGGAGTTGGTGGTACATTTGTTGTTATAATTTCCTACTTCCTTTGTCCTAAATATAATAGATTTAAAGACCTTTTAAATTTTTTTAATGAATTGCTTCAATTTCCCAAAAAGATGTTATATTAGAATTCTGCATAAGCATGATACCGAAATACAAATCACAATTCTGCATTTTGCTTGATTGAAATGTTTAAATATTCTTTTGCTACTTCTTGAAGCTTATGTTTGGTATTTTCAAGTTGTCATGTTTAAATGTAATAAAAGTATATTATATCCCTATATTTTTATTTCTTTTTTTATTTTAGGCCTTGCTAGCTTCAGAACCAAAGAAAGGTAAAGCAAGTCTACTAAAAATGACCATGAAAAGTTTGATAAACTTAGCTTTACCTTCAGATATGCCTTCCAATATAATTTCTCAGGTAAAGCATCTATTTATCTATCTTTATATCTCTTTCTGTGTTAATGCAAAGGAAAAAGTCTGTAAATAGAATTTAAATTTGATATAATTCCTCATTCTGTGCTTAAAATTTCTCATCTTATATTTTTGATTTTAATTAAATTGAAGACAGACTCTTGTGGGCCAAATCTAAATATCAAGGGCCTTAAATTACAAGTCCTATGCAATGATTGTGACATATAGGAGGGTACTGATTAGGATTTGTACCCCATTTGTATTGGTTTTTTTTTGGTAAAAACAGTTGGCATATGTAACTTTGTGATACATTTCAACTAAAGTTCTTTTGTTAACTTTCCCCTTCAGGTTCATGCATTAAATATCTTAAGAGCTTTATTCAAGGACACCCGTTTAGGTGAAAATATAATTCCTTACGTGGCAGATGGAATGCAAGCAGCAATATTAGGTTTTACTTCTTCTGTCTGGGCAGTAAGTTGATCCTTTACTTGTAGCATATTAAGTTTGAAAGCATTATGTTAATAGCGACCAGATCAGTGATTAGGGTTTTCTTTAACTTTATAATGTCTGATTTTTTAAAATAAATTATTTTTCTAAATTAGATGGAAGGTATGCTGATATAGCTAACATGCTCGCATAGAAAACATGCTATGAAACAACATGTAAAACCACTAAAATTGGATATTATATCGTCTAATGTTTTGTTTGATTTTTATTTAGTTTTTTTATACTAAAGGCTAAATATTTATTTGACTGAAAAAAAAATGACTTCCATTATCTTATGACGCAAAATACTGCTTCTAAGTGGTTTGTTGAAATTAAAATCCAATTACTTTTAAAAATGTATTCATTATATTTTCAAATGTTGCTTAGCCTATTAAAACAATAATTGTAGCCAGTAGTAGTCTCTTGGTCTAAAATAAAAAAGTATTTTTTGACTGGTTTCACTGGCATTTCAGAATCATCTTAAGTTGCATGTAGGCGATAAATATTTCTCATGTTACATATTCTATATATTCACAGAAATATGTACACTACTCATACATAGCTTTGTGTCCATAGAGAAAGGAACTATCTACTTCTCTATACATGGAAAATAATGCAAATGAATTGGCAGTTCCAGAAGAAACGTACCATCTTTTCCATGAACAAATTATCCCCCCCCCCCCCTGGAAAATTTGGAATGGAGCTGTACCGTATTTTTGTACATAGACAAAAATGCACTATGGGTATGGAGAAAGGGATGCAGTCTCTTCCTTGTTAGATTTGAGTGGTGTTCTCTGAAACTGCAGAATAGAACTTCCAATGAGTTCTTGCAGGTATTCATATAGCAATAGCATTAGCACTTAGACTTACATACTGCTTTACAGCCATCTCTAAGCGGTTCAGAATCAGCATATTGCCCCCAACAATCTGGGTCCTCATTTTACCAACCTCGCGAGGATGGAAGGCTGAATCAATCTTGGGGATTGAACTCCTGGCAGTCAGCAGAATTAGCCTGCAATACTGCATTCTAACCACTGCGCCACCATGGCTCAATATGGAGAGTACATGGTCAGATGTTTTCATATATGATCACATTGTTTATATTTTATTATTTATATCTTATTCACAATCCTTATTCTACAATTTACATAGGGGACTATTATGCATTATAGGCTGCTGAAAGCATCAGACACCTAATGTCAACACTATATTAAAAACAGATGGAAATATAGTATATCAGTATGCCAAGATATTTTAGGTAGTTATTAAAATGTAGTCATAAATGTTGTGCTTTACCATAAGCCATTAATAAGATGACAATGCATACAACGGAAATTACAGTTAAAATTGCATAATTGTCACATACACACAAAACCCCCAGATCACCAGTCAAATAAGAAATCTGACAAAAGAATCAGAGACTGTTATAAACATAAAATACATTCAGCAAAAAATGCCCCAGCTTTGAACATCTGCCCAAGAAGTCTTTCCACAGCCATAAGAATTGTCTTACTATACGAGCAAAGAAAAAATTCTATTATTTTACTATTAGAGCAAAGAAGTAGAATTTCTGAACTCAATCCACTACTTATTTTCAGGACGATTGAGATCAAGTATTTTATAAGAACTGTTGGACAAATTTTTAGAAAATAACAAGTATTGAGCAATATCCTCTTCACCATCCTTAGCCATAAGGGCATTGACAGATTACAAATAACTTATACTACTTGTACAGTTGGAGGCACTTGCTCCCTTCTTAATTACCAGTATATCAAGAAATTCCTATAAAGGGATGAATACTTTTCAAATTTTTACCTTCAAATTTGTTTTGCATTACACTATTGCCATGTAGCAATCTTTTCATTAGATACTGTAGGCCATTTTGGATAGCTGTATCATATACCTGGAGTGATTTAAAATGAAAAAGGCTAATATAAAAAGCCAACTCTGAGGGCCCAGACCTTGAAACCGTGTTGTACTTTTCTTGCACCTGTCCTTGATATCTGAAGACAATCCTGTTACCTGGTGATTGTAATTTGAGAACAAAATTAAACATTCCAATAAAGAAACTTGATTTGATTAGAAGTATGCCTATTTCAGAATAGAGAGAAGAAGGCAATGTATTAGAATTGGTCTTAACTATTTATTTCAAGGGGCGTCCTTGTCATTGAGGTATGCATATCCCAGCTTTTAGTGCTATATAGAAATGGAGGACCAATCTTGCTTCAATTATTGAATGAATTACATTTGATACCTCCTTTATGAGCAACATCATTTACCTTCAAAGTTTTATATTGAGTGAACTATTTGCCAGATGAGGCAAATAATACACATAGGTAACAATATGTTGGCATTTGTTCAATGAATGAGTCAATTTCCCTTTTATCTTTAGTTTGTAACCTTGTAAGATTTAGTTTTCATATTTAGTTACTTCCCTTTACAGTAATTATTCAAGGCCAGTTATAAACTACTGATGCCAATCTGACTGGGGGGGAAAAGAATCACATTACCAGTATTAAGCAGTTAAGTCATCTTTCACATACTTGAGATACAGAATGTGGCTTTCTTGTCACATTTTAAACAGTGTCATTTACAGTACATCAGATATTGATACTACAAGTAACTGGAATATTGACAGATAGAAAACCATTTCACGAAAATATTGCACGCATATTAGAATTTTATTGTTATCAAATATTGCTGAATCAACAGTCCCCAAAATAAATAAATGCGACATGTAGCTTGGTTTTATTTTGTGCTATATATTTATCAATTTGGCCTATAGTAAACAGTGAAGAAATTTGAATATCCAAGTGTAATATCAGTTAATTGTACTTTACTATGAACTTAAAACATCTATATGATTTCTTTTGTCATTGTCCCACATGCTTGTAACATTGTTGAAAGGTCCTTAAATTCTGATAAGAAGTTCTTATTCAATGGAATTTTTAAATGAGATCATAACTAAATTTTACTGCTTTGATCTGCTATTTAAATGGGAAAAAATCCATATTTTTTTCTCCAGAGTTCCTTTGATTACTTAGTGCCATGACATCTTCCCTAGTATCACTTGAGCATTCAATTGAATTGGTGTATTTTTCCCATTTTATTTGGGATTAAACAAAAAAAAAATCCACAGGGTTTAAAGGAACTTTTGCAAGTTAATTTATCTGAAACCTTCCTGACACATTAGAGGTCAGAGGCATCAGAAATATTTTTTTTTGATGGTCCCAAATCTTTTAACTATTGGAAAGAGAAGCTTGTGATTCTGGATTGCATATGTACTTTGATGTAAAAACTCAATTCCCTTTTATAAAGATTTAATCTCTATTATTCACAGTGAGTTGTCATGAGCAAACTGAGAGAAATCTATCTAGATGTACTATAAAGTACAAATAAAGTTAGAATACTTAAATTCTAATATAAAACAGTATGAAATATAAATATTGTATTTCTGTATAATATATTATATTTTCTGGTAAAACTCCATGCTCCAAATATTACAAAATCCAGTGTAATAAGTACAGAAATGAGACAGCCTTCCTCCCTCCCTCATCAATCAATCATATTTAAAATATTAAAATTAATTTAAGATTTAACAACTTAAAATTATAAAATAAACTTTCAGAAAGATAAAAAAATTCAAAATGGTCATTTAGCATTAATTAATACAAGTGGAGGGTTTCTCATGAGGCTACAGTTGTGTGATTCTTTGTGCCCCTCCCCCCCATGACTCCTTTGCAAAGGTCAGGAGACTGTACATCCAAAATCTAGCATGTATTTAAAGAATAGTACCCAAGGTAGGAGAATCATAGTATATGCTATGACAGCTGGTCCAGATTAAATAATTCCCCTTCCTCTACGGGATCTGCAAATTGCATCTTGAATTGTAATGTAAGTATATATTCAACATATTACTTCTCCTATATGCACATTCTAATAAAAAATAGGGATAAAAACAATTTCCCTTGGTTTCTAGATATCCATCGCCTAGGAAAGTGGATGATGATGAATTTCTTTAAAATGTGTAGGGGATGGGGGTTTCTTCCCCCTTGTTTCTCAAAATATGCTATTAAGGGTAGGAAGAAAGCAGATAATCCTTACTGCATTCTTTATCAAGAATGTCAGGTACAAGAAATCAGGAACCAAGGTTGTTTGAAAGAGTACAAGGGGTTAATCTATGCTTACTCACTATAAGAATCTGAACTATTAATGGTCAAGGCAAATTGGCGGTTCATAAAAATGGAATTCAAGGAGGGCTGGACTCTTGTGAGCACACAATTCTCCAGACTCCAGATGTTTGAACCCTCCTTTGGGTCACTCTTCAGGATAAGATGGACTGGCATACAAATTTAATAAATAAACAATCCTATTAGAAACTGAATACAAATATCTTAATATTTTCTATATTGCTTAATATATTAGGTGAGAAATTCATCTACACTTCTCTTTAGCACCCTCATTACAAGAATATTTGGAGTGAAGAGAGGAAAGGATGAGAGCTCAAAGAAAAACAGGTACGTTCTTTTCAATAAGAAATACTTCTGTAAAATGTATTGTAGTTGAGAACAAATGTATAAAGTTTGATTACATACAAATATATATAAGAAACATAATTTTTCCAAATGATATGGAGCCTTTTTTCAAAAAGACATTGATTATACCCTTTAATTATATCGGACAACATTTTTTTTCAAAAGTTTTTCTTTCTCAAAAACATTCGGTGAGTATGATAGATCCTTTAAAATTGAACACAAGTATAATTTCAGAATGTCTGTGTCATATAGGTGTCCTGAGAAACATTAAATTAACTTTTAATAGCTATAATAGATGTAATTGCATAAAGTTTTCAAAATGCTGCATGAATTCAACAGAGGTAAATGTGTTTTACTGCTGATTTTAGTTTGTACTTGGTGTTTGATGCAGCTCACTGCTGTATCTAAAACAATAGTCAGTCAGTGTTGATGGATTTCAGTTGTCCCGTTACTGTTTTTCCATTCTAACAATATCCTGGTGAAACTTTTTGCCATGTTTGTCACTGATTGTATCTAGATTGTTGGGAAAGAAATCCAAGCGTGAATGCAAAAAACGAATCTTCAATGACAGATTGCACTTCATGATCTTATATGCTATAAGAAGTTGTCAATCAGCTAGATGTAGTTTGGTGTTCTGTAGTTGCCAAGAAAATTCTCAACAACATCTTGAATTGCTTTCCAGACAATTTTCTCTGGCTCTACTAATAGACCTTCAAACCACTTGTCTTTGATGACATATCTGTTCTGTGGACCAACAGGCCTTCCTTAATCTTGGCATCAGTTATTCTTGGAAGCATCTGTCTCAAAAAACCAGAAACTTTCATCTTTCTGGTTCATCCCTTTCACAAATTTTTTCATCAGTCCATGCTTTATGTGAAGTGGAGGCAAAGATATCTTCATTGGGTCAACAAGTGGTTCATGTACCATATTTTCTGTCCTGAATCAAATTCTTTAAGAGTGGCCATTTGTTTTTAATCTAATATGATTCTCTTGCATGGCTGCCTCATTCGCATATGTAACAATAGTACTTGGTATATCTGAGCTGATTCCAAGCAGCAGTGCTGCTATTATTAGATCTCGACAGATATTCCAATTGTACAAACATTTCTTGCAAAAGACCACATACCATCCATTACTTTTTTGCAGACATCTGCATATCTTAAACTTTTTCTCTCCGTTTCCCCATTGTTATCAAAAATTCAACCAAAGAAGGTCAGTTCATATACTTATTCTAGTTTTTCATTATTTATGCATTATTTATAATCATTCCACTGTTTTTCTCATCAAACACAACCTTCTTGGTCTTTGATATGCTAACCATCAGATCCACACTGCTCCTTGTATCATATAATCTAACACAGATCTGGGCTTTTTATAACGCATGGGCCACATCAGCCAATGGGCAGTCCAGTCCAGCCTGTGGCAGCAGCAGCACAGGGCAAGGCATTGGCAGTGGTAGGGACTGGGAGGAAGCATTGGCATGATGTTGGCATCAGTGGCGGGTGATGGTACAGTTGGCGGGAGATGGGACGGTGATAGCAGCAGGGCCAGGGTGGCGGTGGCTGGATGATGGCTGCCTTTTACAACAATCTCAATTTGTGACGTAGCCTCTTGGGAAAATTAATTGCCCACCCCTGGTCTAACATTTGCTGTAATTCATTCATGTTTTAGCCTCAAATGCAACATGTATTCACATCTCCAACTGATACATTTCTAATATCATCACAAACATTTTGCTTACATTGCATATAATGCATTAAAAATTATTATCTGAATCATCTGAAAAAAAAATCCTCTGAATCACCATTTTAAATTATGTCTTCTTGGTCAGTCTTGAACTTTTCACTAAGCATTCTATTTATTATCACACATGTTTTACTTCCATTATATATAGCATGTATGTGTCCAGCAACTGATCTTCAACTCCACATTTTTGCAAAACATTGCTTAGTTCAAGCCTATTTACTTATCATTTGCTTTTTCTGACAAAAGAAAAGTACAATATATTTTATTTTTATTTTTATACATTTCTCAGTGTCTTGATAAAGATCAGAAATCTCAGCTGCTTATTTCTTGTCTGGCATATAGCTGGTGGAGGGAGAACCGGTTGTTAAAAGTTTCTGAGCAGTTTGATGAACTGGTTGTTGGAAGAAATAATTATGGCAGAGAACCGGTTGTTAAATTATTTGAATCCAACCACGGCATATAGCCACACTATACATTTCATATTTGGCTCATTGTTATCTCTATTCAGAATTATGCCAAACAACATCTTCCCTTGCACACTTAACAAATTCAGAATGTTTTTGAGAAATAACCAGAATCTACTGGAATGAGCCCTTTATGTAACCCAAATGCATTGATACTATTTTAAATGGATCTTTGAGAACTAATCCTTTGCCTAAAATTGCTGCTGAAGAAAACTTGTTTTTCACCTCTGTATTTCAAAACCACTAGATGTCTCCCTTGATACAGTCTTTTTAAAAATAAAATAAATGCAATACACCTACAGCAAATATGTTTTGTTTGGTTTCCTTGGACAGCCTTTGTTTTCAACTTGATCTTGAATTTTATAGCTGGTTTGATCACTTTAAATGTGAATAGTTTTGAATTGTGAAATTTGCAAATAGGGACTGATTCATAAAAGTGAAATTTATTTCTGTAGATTAAGTGTACATGCATCTCCATACAATTTTATTTAACTAATAGCAATGGCTTTCTCCTAAAAAATATAGTTATATGAAAATCACCATACAAATGAATGGAAACATCCAGGCCGTCTAAAAGAGTATTCAAGTAAATGTGGTTTATTCCAGAATATTACTTTGATTATCATTCCATTAAGAGATTGCAGGAATAGTGTTATAATTTTTTTAAACAAGTACCAGAAATATCTCCTGGACTTCTACAAGAATTTCTCATTGATATATACAGGATCACTTTCCAAACAATTGCAAATTGCATATTTACTTATAATACACCTGTTTTAAAATAGAGAGAACATGGATTGTTTAGTGTCCAACACCATGCTGAGTTCAGAAATCTAAATAAAACCAATGCCAACAGAGTTGAGCTGAGAGACAGCGACTGACCAGGAAATGGATTATATTTTTATATAGACCTAGTTTTGGAACCGTGTGAAGTTCTAGGCAGAGAATTTTTGTGTTTATATTTTTGTTTTTTGAAAAGGATCTGAAACTATAACCTTGATGGAGATGGGAGGTCTAGAAACATGAAATATCATTCATACCTACCTACCTACCTACCTACCTACCTACCTACCTACCTACCTACCTACCTACCTACCTACCTACATCTATCTATCTATCTATCTATCTATCTATCTATCTATCTNATCTATCTATCTATCTATCTATCTATCTATCTATCATCCATCCATCCATCCATCCATCCATCCATCCATCCATCCATCCATCCATCCATCTATCTCCTGGAATGATAATCAGCTTCCTTTTCAGTCTCGTCTAGATTTCCCAATGATAGTATCACAGGAATGTTGTCTAGTTGATGCATCTTCAATCATGTGTTGATTCAACAAGGAACTTTTTCTCCTTTGTTTTTCTTTAGTTTGAACCAATTTTTCTCATTGTATTTTCTCATTTGCTTCTCAACTCTCTGTAGTGCAGTGGGTCTTCTTTAAAAATTGCTTTTTTTGTAGAGGCAAACTTCTGACCTTTAGGTATAACTGCTACATAATCCCCCTTAAAAAGGTGCAGAACAGAACCTTAGATATCTTTAGTAACATTGTCAGACGAACAAGGGGCAATTGTTCCTTAACTAGAAGGAAAGCTTTTTCAGAATGCTAACCACAATGTTGTTCCAAGATGGGGCTGTTTGGTAGCAAAGCTGTGATATTCTTCCAAGGCTGCCCTCACAATTGTAAGTCAGCTGAGATTAGTTTTGATATCCCGAAAACGTCTTAGACAGTAAATGCACGATATGGGATGTTTCTACAATTACAAAGCTAGCAGTTGCTTAAATAATACCACTAAACTTTATTTTTTTAACATTAGAAAAATAATGCTATCAGTCTCCTGCATTAACAAATGGCTATATTTAGAGTGTTTTTTAAAATCCTTTGCATTACCTGATGTATTTACCTCCTTCATCATTAAGAAGTGCTGGCTTTTCACAGTGGCTTTACTTATGCCTAAATACACAAAGGTATCATAAATAGCAAACTAACAGATACTGGGAGAGTAGAGTATAAAAGAGATCAAAGCCAACAGACCATGCAGTCATTTTAGAATCTTGGCTGGCTGCTCTTGTAAATAGGAGAGCTTCTAAAGCAGAACACATTACTGTATTTATATATGCCTTGACTGACAGCTCAGTTATTAACTTTATAGAAACACAGGCAAGGTAATCCCCTAGAAATGTTTGCTCTATCGGTTTCTGTCTGAAAGAAAATGGAAGCCAAGGTACAATAGCTTGTTCTCTGTTTCCCCAAAGTATTTATTTTAGAATAAAAAAGCAGTATAAAAGAGTGTTTTCTCAAGTCAATGAACTTAAGCAGTGTTGTTTGCTTTCTGGTATTTAAGCATGTTGCCTTGCTGTTCGTTGAAAAACAAACACCACATTCATCAATCTTTCCCCCCCCCCCCCATTTCATTGATATTGAATTATTCTACATTCTCTCACATTCGTTTTCTTGGCTTAATAAATTTGAATTATATCTCTGAATAATTCACAAAAACAATTTGTAACTAAAGTGACAATATACAAATGATGCCTAAATTGTTTTCTCTATTGTCCTTCAATAGAATCTTAACTCGATTTACAACCATTTATTTAGTGACTTTTCAAAGTTACAACTGCACTGAAAAAGTGGCTTATGACCAGTTTACACACTTATAACCGTTGCAGTATCCTCATTGTCATGCGTTCAACTTTGGGCACAACGGGTGTGTGTTTATGACAGTTGCACTGCTCTGAAGTCACATAATCACCATTTATAACCT